GCCTGCTGCCGTGTGCGTGGTGCAGGGTCTGGCTGGCCAACTCTCGCCGCAGTTCCCCCAGCAGTGTCGTGCGCCACGGCCCGCTCCCAGATGCAGCCGCCTCCAGCCGTTGCCGTTGCCGCTGCCCGCTATCACCACCACCACCACCACCACTACCATCATCACCATCACCACCATCGCCATCGTCGTCGTTGGTGCTGGCTTTCGTGTCCGTGTGAGCGTCGGGTTGTTCTGATGCTGATGGCCGTGCTGACTTGTCCTTACTTGCATCGTGCACTGCGCCACTGCCACCACCATCGCCACCACCACCGCCACGACGCCGCGCACGCTGTGCTTCCTGCGCATTCATGTGGAGTTGGTTGCGCGCGTAACTGATGCGCATGAGCTTGGCCAGGTTGCAGTTGATGACGGCCTGGTTCACGCGGTCCCGCAGGTTGCGAAACGCCGCCAGCGCGCGGAAGAAATGCGCACACGCCATTTGCTTCTGCTCTTCAAATTGCGCGGCAGACCAGGCAGTGAGTACCGGCATCTCCGATAGCTGGTCCATCAGCACTTTGGCCATCTCGTTGTGCGCGTTGCCCGTCTGCCGCACCAGCGTCTGCTCCTCCATCAGAGAGGCCTGCGAGTGTGTGTATGGTTTTGTGTGTGCGTGAGCGATAAGGGGAACATATGTGCCAGAGACAGGGCAAGAACAAACCAAGAGTCAAATAAGACGAGCAATCAAACACACACACACACGCGCGCGCGCGCACACACACACGCACACACACACGCACACACACACACACACACACACAGACAGACACAACCAAGCAACCACAAACGCGCGCGCATCCCCCCCCACGCACACACACGCACACACACATGTACAGCCACCGCACGTTGTGGATAAAGTCGTAGAGAGCGAGTGCCGCCTTTGCCAGTGCCGCTCTGTCGCTGGGAAGAGGAAACGAGACAACGGCCTGGCGCTGGAGCAGCGATCCCCCAAAAGTGCTTGGAATCGAACCAAATTGCTGGCCCCAATCACGCGTGTCGCCATCACCACCAGCACTGTTGCCTACACCACTGCCATTCCGGCCGACCTTGTCCTCGCTCGAACCGCTCGCCTTCATCACCATATCGCCATCATCACCGTCATCGTTGTCATCGTCGTCATTATTGTCAGTTTGTGCTGTTGGCGGAGGTGTTGCCGATGTTGACGGTGGCGGCGGTGCGCTGCTGCAGCGGCTGTTGTCGTTGCTGGTGGTGGCCCCTGGAGCTGTCACCATCACACGCGCGCGTCCAATCAAGCAGCCACACCTCCTTCGTCGGCACCACATGCCCACACCCGCCCCCTTTCCCTGCAGAAGAAGAAGAAGAAGAAGAAGAAGAAGAAGAAGAAGAAGAAGAAGAAGAAGAAGAAGAAGAAGAAGAAGAAGAAGAAGAAGAAGAAGAAGAAGAAGAAGAAGAAGAAGAAGAAGAAGAAGAAGAAGAAGAAGATGATGAGGTGGAGGAGAAGGTGGTGGTAGTAGAGGAAGAGATGATGATGATGATGATGATGATGAAGAAG